GAAGTGCAATGAGCGCACTGACTGAGGTTGGAATAAATGCAGAGCTGCGCCACAAATTTCAATGTTTCCCTATATTTCTCTCATTTTGACTGGGAAATGTTTCTATTGAGACTGTTTAGATATTTTTAATTCAGGTCTGTAGCCTAGTTAGAAATGTTGTTTGTAGTATTTTTTTGTGGAAAACTGGTTAGCCAAATCTACCCTTATATAAAAGATATCTTTAATTCGCAGCTGGAGTCGTGCCCACATAATATAGCCTATGTTTCATAAATTCCTGTATTTCAGTTAGGCAACAAATAAATTTGGTACCTTATTTTTTATAAGCCAAAATATTATAGCATTTAAAATTTTTGGCCCACCCTATACTCCACCGGCCTTGCTTGCGGGATTCAGCAGGCGGGAGCGGGACAAACCATAACAGATGCGGGCGGGAGCGGGACAAACCATAACAGATGTGGGCAGGAGCGGGTCGAAATATTACACATTTCTGCGGGAGCGGGATGAAAAATCAGTCCCGCGCAGACCTCTACTCTGGGACAGTTACTAACTGTCCATTGTCCCTGGTACAGAAAACAATTAAATCATTAAAAAATGCCCCTTCACATGTGTTCTGTGGTCCGTGGCTCTGTATGTACGAATGCTCCATAATTATATGATGCTTTATGCTGACCAGAACTGGCTCTTGACCACCGCCACCCTACCGTAAACCTGAGAGTGGAGAGATTAAATCACATTTCATGCCACAGAGCTCAGCTAATCCTTCTTGTTCCTGAACCGTTGACAGAAAGATACCGATGAAGAAGTGAGAGAGTTCCTCCAAAATAACCTGCATCTTCAGGGTAAGGTGAGTGGTAAAGCCCACAGTCAGACCATCCCACGTGGATCAGGCTGCATGCCTCATCTTACACGTTCCCTTAGGTGGAGAACCCCTCTATGCGCTGGCAGATGGCTCTCTACAAAGAGATGGCAGGCAAGGCTGAGGATGCTGACATTCCAGAGAAGGTGGTGAAAAGGGTGCAGGAAGTGGCTGCAGTGCTCTATCACATCGAAATGGTTCGTCGATCTGCTTTTCCTAGTAACACCTTTATATTCAATATTAAAATTAGCAGCTTCTTCAATAGGCACATTGGTGAAACCCAGCTCTGCTGTGTATTAAACCCAATATTTCATATACTCAGTTTAACACACAGGACATAAGAAGTGAATGACAAAAACTGAAAATTAACTTTAAAGATATGTTTAAGATCCCCATGTCAGCAGATTTCTTCAAGGTTCTCTGGTTTCAAATGACATGGAGTTAGGCTAATCAAAGTCTCAAATTGCTATTGGTGGATTATTGTATGTGCACGTAACCAAAGACCACATTGGGAAACATTGTCTAATTGGATTTGTACAAGGCAAATGGATTTCCACTCTCTCTTAGACGGAGCATCCCTTCAAGTCCAAGAAAATGGTGTGGCACAAGCTTCTGTCCAAACAGCGCCGTAGGGCAGTGGTGGCATGCTTTAGAATGACACCGCTATACAATATTCCCAGGTAACACACGCAAAGGTGATGATGCACAGGGCAATTTTTTGGTGGCAACGTGTGGCTCAGCAGGCTAAGCCTTTTTGCCTATGATCAGAAGGTTGCCGGTTTGAGTCTCGGCAGAATAGTTACATGTCTGTGGGCCCTTGTGCAAGGCCCTTAACCCTCAACTCCATGGGTGCCACTGCAGGTGGCTGCCCTTCACTGCCAAGCTTGCACTCACCTACATATGTGTCTGCATTTCATGGAGCACAAGATCGTGTAGGCATAAAGAGAATTTCCCCACTGGGATTAATGAAGGATTATTATAATTATTATTATTTTTACTAAGCAAAGTTGCCAGGCAATTGCCAACTAGGTGAGACAAAGGGCAACTTATTTGGATCTGGAAAAAAGTTGCCCAATATCAATGGGAAAGTGCCCGAGCCGCATTGCTCAAAAAGTTGCCCTATGTATTGTCACCCATACACTTACAAAGCCACATTTTAATATGTTTTGGTGTCTTTCTATACATTGTTTTAAATATATGAACAACCAAACATTTAAGACCATTTAAATCTTCATCTGTCAGACATAGGGCATCCAACATGTTCCTGGATGCATACAAGCGAAACTGGATCCAAACGGAGGGATATTCCTTTGAGGATAGAATGATAGATGACTTATCAGTAAGTTTTCTTTGCACCACTACCTGCCTTCCTATCGCCCTTACTTGTTTCTGCGGCTGTCACCATAAGATTGCACCGATCGTGCTGTGAGCATGAACGTGACTTCATCGTTTGCCTCCTTCTAGAAAGCCATGGAAGAGGAAGAAGAGGAGGAAGAGGAAAAGGAAACCAAACCGGACCCCCTTCATCAGCTCATCCTACATTTCAGCCGCACCGCGCTCACTGAAAAGAGGTGAGGACATTCTTGAGAAACTGGCAGAGGAATAAAGTGACAACAAGGAGACTACAAGGAGAGTCTCACTTTATAAGGATGGATGAAGGGCCACTACCACGCAAATAGATGCACAGAATTTGTGTACAGCATGACTTGACAAGCCACTGGAAATCTGACATGTCTAGCATTCTCAACTGCTGTTCCCCATCCTTTGTTTTCTGTAACAGTAAACTCGATGAGGATTATCTATACATGGCATATGCCGACATTATGGCAAAGGTGAGTTTTGACACCAAACTGATCCACCCTCAAGCGTGTGATTTTGGTTTTATTCTGCTTATAGTTAAACATCACTTTTGGTTATCCCTGCTTTTGGTTATTCCCCTGCTTTTGGTTATCCCTGCTTTTGGTTATTCCCCTGCTTTTGGTTAATCCCTCACTTTTGGTTATCCCCCTACTTTTGATTATACGCTACTTTTGGTTAAACCCCGCTTTTGGTTATACCCCGCTTTTGGTTATACCCCCCTTTTGGTTATACCCCCCTTTTGGTTATACCCCACTTTTGGCTATACCCTGCTCTCTCTATAGGTGTCTTACTTTTTCCTGTCTGTTTGTCTCAGAGTTGCCATATTGGTGAGGAAGATGAAGCAGGAGAGGAGGAGCTAATGGGGGGCGAGGATGAGATGTCCTTTGAGGTGCGACAGAATGAGATGGTATGGGGGTGCAGGGGGCTGGGGACCGGGGAGACACTGGAGCGGCCGCTCCTCACACGCTGAGTATCACTGCACCCCACTGCATCCCACACACCCCCTGCCCGATGCCCCCTCCTCAATTATTCTTTCTTCTCTTCTCTGTCATTGTGATGTGTCTCGGAGTTTAACTGTTTGTAATGTTCCTATTTGGGTTCTAATCCCGCGTGTTTGGTTTTTCATGTTCATGACGTGTTTGCTTTTCTGGTGCCTGTGGATCTGTGCTTGCCACTCTTCTCTTATTTCTCTTCAAATTGTTCCCATTTTTTTTTTCCTCTGACCCCTTACACTCATTTTTATTTGAATGTTTAAATCGTTTCCTTCATACTCACCTAGTTCATTGCTAATTGGACTACAGTAAAAGCCTCTATAGTTCAACTGCATACTTCACAGACAAATGAGGATACACAAAATGCACGCAAAATAATAACCGTATCAAACACTCAGGGCACCTTCAGACCACCTGTCAACAAAAGACGTAAGTAATTGACATATGCTCACTGAAACATGTTCCATTCTCCAAACCCTTAATACATGAAACATATAAAACATGGCTAGGCTTACGAGGGTGGGAGGGGTGGTCTCTAATGGTTGGGGTGGGAGGTGTCTGTTGGGTTGGGGGGGGTTAGAATGCTGGGGTGGGTAGAAGGGGTAATATAAGAGGGTATTGTGGGTGGGCTTTTCTTATTCTGCCGAAGAACCGGTTTTGCTTCTTTTCGATGATAAATCAATTATTATGGTAAAATACTATCAAACTTCTGCATAAATATTATATGAATTATCCGTCATTCATACCACTGATCCAATTCATGGTCACGGTGATATGAATTATATATGACAAGCATTTTAAATTTAGTTTAGTGATGAGATATTCTGCAAAATGCAGTGACTGAGGTATTCTGTGTGTCACGTAAAAGTGTTTCATATACAAAGAAATGACTGGGAATGCCGTGGGTGACCACTGTGTTATTCTGCAAGACACCTCGCTAAAGAGGACAATGAGGGCTGTTTGCTGTAGTCAAACGTTTGCTCTAGGCAGCAAATGTGAAGAACGAGAATAACGATTTCATTAACTAATACTTCTTCGGATGGGCAGAGCGAATGAATGAGAAGGAGAGATAGAGAGCAGTTAGAGTGGAGGATGTGTAAAAGTGTGTGTTGGATACAAGGACGTCGTCACTCACACACACACACTTCTCACAATATGAAAAGGGAGAGAACAGGGACTGTATATGTACATAGGTACTAAGGGTAGTAGGGAACTTTTTTCATTGAAAGCGATGAATTTTATAATGTTTGTGATTTGTGCTTCATTAGAACTCTAATGAAAAGTAAATATATAGGAAATATACTGATAGGCATGAAGGACCACTGAAACTTAGGCAGCCAGGCGTGTGTTTGTGTGTTTGAGTGACTGCAGTGTGAGTTAGGCCCAGACAGAGTGTGCCCAGTGTAACCCAGGGACACTGCTTACAACTGCACAGGAGAAGGAGATGGAGAAGCAGAGACTTCTGTACCAGCAATCCCGGCTACACAACCGTGGAGCAGCTGAGATGGTCCTGCAGATGATCAGTGCCTGCAAAGGTGCGCCGTCTTTTACTGCGCCTGCTGGTGGCAGAACTCTCAGTAATGACATAAGTGTCCCACATCAGGGGTGTAACAATGCAACAATATTTCACAAATATGATGATTCGCATTGTAAGAGTGTAATAATACACCCTTCCATGGTACTTCGCAATTTAAACATATAATGATATGCATGGTAAAGGCTTAATAATACACCATGACATTCAGTTATTTATTAATGTTAGCACAAGAGGGTGCAATAGATATAATCTCAGTTTTACTTTGACATTTTATTTTTGCAGAATAAGGAAAAAACTGTAAGAGAAAAAGTTTTTTTTAAATTATTAATGTACATGCTGAGAAGGAAATAAGAAAGAACTATGAGATCGTAGTTTTTCAGTCTTATTTTGTTGAATATATTGTGAGTGTACTAAATCGTGAGCTCTGAATCATCTATTGAACCGAATCGTGAGTAGATTGTATCGTTACATCCCTATCCGAAATATATACCGTTATACCCCTGGTGCTAAAGCGTATCTCTGCGGAGTAAGAACACACATCATGGCTGCAAATCATCTCCTTTGGTGTAACAGGTGTGACCGGTTCCATGGTATCCTCCACACTCAAGTTGGGCATTTCCATCCTAAACGGTGGAAACGGTGAGGTGCAGCAGGCAAGTTCTCTGATGTGGTGTGTTGTTTGCATCGTCCAGTGTGGAATCCATTAATCACCTGAATATGAAGGTAACATTGTTTGCACCCATTCAGAGTAATATGGTAACAGAGTAATTAGGGTGCATTGTTGTATTTTTAATGTATGCTCTTTTCCCTGCCTACAGAAAATGCTGGACTACCTGAAAGATAAGAAAGATGTTGGGTTCTTCCTTAGTCTCCAGGCTCTCATGCAGAGTTGCTGGTTAGTATTAGTGCTTAGTTTCAAGGTAACAAAATTACGAGAGAGTGTTTTAGACTATTTAGCAACTAGCTGTAACACCAAAATATGAGTTTTGCCAGATAAAAAAGAAAAATGTAACTTGATCTAGATGCAATGCCTCACAAAACGATACCTTCACGTTTGTTTTGTCTGGCAGTGTCTTGGACCTCAATGCTTTTGAGAGACAGAACAAAGCAGAGGGACTGGGCATGGTGTCAGAGGAGGGCACAAGTGAGTCAGACACCACACCTGCTCTGCTTTAAGCACCACATCTCCAAGCATGTCATTTCCTGTCACCGAAAATGACTTGCTTGGTCTTTGGCAGTTACAAATGAAATTATAATTGTTATGAGATTTGTGTTGCTTTTTGAAAGTTTTAAAGGATAATTGGAAGTTCAAATGTTTAAAAAGTTTAATAAAATGGCTTTGTGTAGATTCAAATTTTTATTACTATTGTTTAGTGATGGCAAAAATGGCACTTTATGAACCATTTGCTGTATTTTCTGACCCCACTAGATGGCGCTGTCTGTACAAAAATGGACTCAAAGCATGCCCCAAAGCAGTATAGTTTTACAGTATAAGTTCAGTTCATTTTACAGTAATATCCTCTATTCTTGTAATCAGTAATTTGACAAATCATAAATAAATTATTAAATTGGTTTTAATAATTATGAAAATCTTTCAGCTCTGAACAGGATGCTACTTTTGTTTAGTTGTTTACACTTTTAAAAGGTCACCAGAGCCTCGTATTAATCCAACAAACCCAATCAGTTATTTGACTCTGATGTTCAGAGATACCAACACGCTCAGTGTAGCGTGTTCACTGTAAAACTGTTACATTTTTTGCATTCGGATTTTGTGCCCAGACTCATGACATCTATTTATTATTGCTTGACCTGCTCTTGGTATCTGTCAGGTTTGCACTCTTCCCCATAATGTTCCATAATAACAACGCACGACTCTCAAGGGTCAATAATCAAACAATGAATTATGCATCAAATTACTTATCTCAGTTTAATTGTGCTCAACTCTAACCTATTCCTTGACTTCCTAAATACTTCCTAAATTTGAGGAAGGTTGTTTTTCTTTTGTCTATCTAGCTGATAATGCTCAGTGTACTTTACCATCACCTAATAGTGATCAGATGTTATATTTCAGTAATTTGAAATGTTAATTACTTTTTATGTAGGTGGATTGTAATTCCCTCCTGCGACATTCCTGATTTACTGCTGATTTACCTCACCACCCGTTTCTCTCTACTCCACAACCGTTTCCATGCCCCCCCTCCCCAAACCTCCACCTTGTGCCTGCCCATCCACCTTCTCCTTCATTTCCTGGTCCTCAGACATGAAGCTTGAACGTGGTAAATAATGCCTCAGTCTGTCTGTCCATCTCCCTTCTTCTCCTTCTCTCTCCCTGTCCCTGTCTCTCTCATTTCAGTCTTATTTTTTATTTTTATCACTTGCTGTGAAACACGGCAGATTTTCTTTTAGCACTCAAGAAAATATATATGAAAATATATATTAAAAAAACACTTTTTGGTCTGTTTTTCATATTTCTATTGCTGATTAGTTCAGTTTAGGAATCTTAGTAAACCAAATACAAATAAATATTTTCCATCATTGTACACCATTCAAAAAAATTGTTTTTAAGTAAATCTCCTACAATATATTAGTGTTTTAATTTCTAGCTGTTATGGATGAGGTATACAATGCACTATGATGTCTGCAGCATGAATTTAAAATTATTCGTTTATAATTATAAAACAGAACTATAAAAACTAATTGTAAACACTGATCAAAAAGATGTTTTTCTCTTCTTCTTCTTCTTGAGTGTCTTTTACGACAGATCTACTGTAACTCCAGAGCATACATGTAGATTCCTTTTCTTGGGAGACGCATCAGGCCCCAGGGAATGTGGTGTCCTCATGCAGGAAAATCCTCCGGAGCGTTCTGTGCAGAACAGATAATGCTTGCTTATCACCACTGACACAAAGCTGTGTGAATACTCACTGCTTTATATCCTAAACCTCATTCTTATAATACTATTAATGATAATAACAGTCATTGTTAACCCCTTTAATGAACACAATATTATATGAATGAAGGAGAGATCAGTAGTACCAGTGTGTTTGTTGATTTCAGTATTTTTTTTCATGCTGTTGCTCTAATGCTATTGCCGCTATTTCTAATATATGGGAAGCAATTATACAAACACACGGTGAGATATCTTCTGAAGCAGAAATGACTGCTTATCTCTGAATACTAGTATCTTTGAGCGTCTTTTCCTGTACGTCGCCCTGTAGTGCTGAACACAGCTTTCAGGGCTCCCTGATAATTTGGCTGGACCCACCAAGACGCACTCTGCTCCCTCACCTTCTAGCCACAGTAAACTTAATGGAGAGCAGTAGGTCTGTCTTGCATGCTTGTGTGTCAGAGTGTGGTCTGGTTGATGGAAGTATGAGGAGACGCTTCTTTTTTAAAAAAATTTGGTCTGTGTTCAGTTCTGTGTCATATTATTGAATATGATTGTGATGTATATGTTTCAGTGTTTTGTTTACTATGTTTTCTGTCAGTTTGTTTTCCTGTGTATGTTTGGTTTGAGTATGTGTAGGAAAGTGTGGCCATTTTGTGTGTGTTGTACAGTATATTTCTGTGTGTATATATATATATGTGTGAATAGTTCTTTTTGTCCTTAACCTCCCGTGGTGCTTGTGGAGCTTCTCCACATGCCAATTTGAAGAGGAAGTCATCAAAAAGATGGAGACCATTAGTTCTCTGCTAAAGGCTTTTCCATTGTAACAATAATGGTGAATATTACCTGGATATTAGCATTGCTAAGGATACTGGGGTGCTATGTGACTCAGTGGGGTGCTATGTGACTCAGTGGAGTGCTATGTGACTCAGTGGGGTGCTATGTGACTCAGTGGGGTGCTATGTGACTCAGTGGGGTGCTATGTAACTCAGTGGGTTAGGACACTGCCTCGCTGGTTGGTCTCAGAGTCATCAGGCTGACTTCACTGCTGGGTCCTTCAGCAAGGCCCTTAACCCCCAATTGCTCCATGGACTGACCCTGCTTATTCAATCGTATGTTGATTTGGCTATAAGCATCTGATAAATAATGTAATTGTAATTGGTCCCTGTTTGGACTATGCAATTTCAGTCCTGCTGTCTCTCAATAACCTCCAGACCTTTCGGTCATGGGACGGACAGTCATAGTCTCTCTTACTTGAATAATTTCAATATCTATTTACATATATAGTTTAGATGCTTCAGTTTGTAGTCAGCTAAAATAAGTACACCATCAGGTGTCTCTATCAACTATCTCTATGTCTAAGTATTTTTGCCCCCCCCCCCCCAACTATTCCTTTGCTCTAGGTGAAAAAGTGATGGCGGACGATGAATTTACCTGTGACCTTTTCCGCTTCCTGCAGCTTCTCTGTGAGGGCCACAACAATGGTGAGTCAAGAGGTCACAGAGACGAATACAAGTGAAGCTAATTTAGGTGACCAATAGGATCAGTAACAGCTAATTTAGGTGACCAATAGGATCAGTAACAGCTAATTTAGGTGACAGGCATTAGTCATTCCGAGGAACGATCAAAGCTAACATGCTAACGTGATCATAGTTTCTTCAATGTGAGAATTCAGTGATACAGTGTGAGGGGGCTGTTGTCACATTCCTAACAGATTTCCAGAATTATCTGCGGACCCAGACAGGCAGCACCACCACCATCAACATCATTATCTGCACTGTGGACTACTTGCTGAGACTCCAGGTTAGCACCTTGGCTTCCTACATCACGTGAAAGTGTCTCTCCATGTCAAAACACTGTCTCTTCTCCTTAAATGATCAACTTTTACCTTTATCCTTTCCTCCTTTGAAAGGAATCAATTAGTGACTTCTACTGGTATTACTCTGGAAAAGAGGTGATCGATGAACCAGGAAAGAGGAACTTCTCCAAAGCCATGACGGTAGCCAAGCAGATCTTCAACAGCTTGACAGAATACATCCAGGCACGTCAATTTTCCATTTTCTGTAAAGTAGCCAGCTTCCTCTTTGGTTCCGGGTTTCCCGTGTTGAGACCCACATCTCCCTTCTCCTCGTAGGGGCCCTGCACCAGTAATCAGCAATCCCTGGCCCACAGCAGGCTGTGGGATGCGGTTGTGGGTTTCCTGCATGTCTTTGCTCACATGATGATGAAGCTGGCACAGGTATGAACGGCTCCTTCCTACTGCTATTAGTTCTGCATGTCCATATATTAAACTCACATATTACTGTTCTTATTTCTGGGTTGAAGATACTCTATGGACACTGCACCTGCTACCTAATCAGACATAAATGCACATCAGTATCTATGCACTTCATTTTCTGACATTTTACAAACCCACCCAGCAATATATACAGATTATATATAGATACAGCTATAAAAACTAGTTATTACTATTAAAATTGCTTTTTAAAATGTTTGCCATATAACAACTTCTACATCACTTCTTTCTTAATCCCTAAAACCTCTTAGAGTCAAACTCATCTTAAAGATGTAAAATTACATAAATTATCAGACTACTAATTTGACATTTGCTTCTAACAAATACAGTGGTACCTCAGAACTCGAATTTTATCCGTTCAGAACTCCGGATCGAATCCTAAAAAGTTCGAGTAGTGATCGAATTTTCCCCATAAGAAATAATAGAAAACCAATTAATTGGTTCCTGGCCCCAAAAAATTACACCTAAATATGTTTTTTGTTAGCATTTAAACACAAAATGAACCGGATAAAACAAGAAGAGCATATATTGTACTAAACACATCTAATCACATTTATCAAAACAGTAATTTGTAAAGTAAGAAAATAAATGTATCCAAACGATGTGTCCTGCCTTGATCGTCCGCTCCTTCCGTGTGCCACGCCCACTTGTTAACCCCGTGTGGAATCCCTGTGTGATCAGCTGTTTATAGTTGTTGTCATTAGTCCTCTGTATTTAGTCCGCGTTTGTTTCCACAGTCCGGTCATTGTATTGTCCATCTGCGTTTTGCCTGCCTTACCTGTAATTAAACCCCGTATTCCCCGATACCCTGACGTCTGCACCTTTGTCTCCGTTTTGTCCCCGCTCTGCAAAACAATATTATTATAATTAAACATATTAATGGTTTATTATTAATATTAAAATAATGAATTAGAAATCTTTATTTTTAAATGTATTTTATTATATAATAATAATTACTGTTACTGTTTATCATTGTCTAAATGTATTTTTACTGTCTGAATATATGTATTGAGTTAGTGTAAACATGCACGATGCTATCCCAGCGAATGCGAGGCTGAGACTGAAGCGTTACCCTTTGTTTCCGCTGAGAAACGTGCCATGTGACTCATTTCACACACTGCTATGGAAGAATACAATACATTTATAGGTTGTTACATTCAAAGTACAAAGAGGCCTATAAGCAGAGTAAAATCAACGTAGAACTTGCCATGGTGTCTCATGTTCTTAGGCAGATCTTGATGTAGCTAAGGAACATCCCAGTCATAGTGCATACTTACATGCAGTTGGAGTCAAATTTGAGAATTAAAATCTTACACAACAGCTGTTTAGTGCCCAGGGAGATAGTAAAATACTTTAAGTAGGAATTGATCGATAAGTTGCACTGCAAACGTTTATATTTTTGAATACTTACATTAATCTATTGATCAATCTGTACCAAAAAGCTTTTACCCTATAGCTTCGTTGTTTGTGTATCAGATAATGCAGATAGTTCCACAAATGTGCCAATCACTGCCATTTCTAAGGCCTGAGTTTAAGATAAGATAATCTTTGTCATTGTCACTTGACAACGAAATTGATAAAGTGCAGGCGACTCAATGTGAGACATGAGTAATAAAAGAATATATTAAAAATATACAAATTGCACTGCACTTAATGAGCTTAATTAAAGGACTGCACTTGCAGAAGTTACTTTATTGTTGAACTTAATTGTTTTTTTTCTATGCTTAAAATGGTTATTTAATAGTGTTATTTAAAAAAATACTAAGAATAATAATTGTAGAACCACATGGAGCAATGACCCAAACACAAGTTTAGCATTAGTTGTATATGAAACTTGTGATAAAACAGTGAATCACCCATGAGTAAAAGACATGTGGATGTTTAAGCAGACAAAAGTCCTTGCTGTGGTTATGCTTTGTAATGCTAAATCCCACAAGCTACTCTTGCAATGTAACTTAATTTATTCAACACAAAATTCTTTGAGTTTCATAATTTTTCAATTGTGCATCTGCAACTTGCCACATGTCTGGATTTGTTACACCATCCTGCGATGTTGCATGAGAGGAGGGTAAATCGGGGTTTGCACGCTACACCACTGCAGCTCCTCTGATATTGTGCAGTGGTTTGGCAGACTTGCGTGTACACAACCTTTCATAGAAGGGAACAGCTCGTATCTAATGAAATGTGTTTGCTTCAGTGAGACATGGCCAATCAACAACAAAAACTTGGGGGTATTCCAGATAGTGGGTTTACTGTAGGAAGTAATACTGAATTTGTAGCTCAGAACCTTTCCATTCTAGAAACCAAGATCAAAATGAGAGCAACTCAAGTACTGTAGCCACTTAAACTCTGAACCAACCCTACTCGAAAGCAAGTTCAGCTACCAGAAACTCAGGGTTTAAAGAGTGGGGCAGTGGCTGCATCGTTAGCGGTCATTAGTTTGAGATTTCGTGGCCTTTCGTTAAAGAATCTGTCTCAGCAAAAGTGCAAATTACTGGCAGAGCTTCATGTTGGGAGAGTGCGATTAGACGTTCTTTCCTTCCCAGATGAAAATCATCCCAAACGGCTCATTTCATAATGTGTAACTTATTGGGGTTTAACCGTCTCCACTTTCAAGATCATTTGTGACACTGCAAAAATTCAGTACCTAAGCAAAATTGCCAGGTCGTCTCCAGAACTCACAAATGGACATGTATATTCTCCTATAATATGACAATCTTCCACTCTGATGACACCTAACCCAAAGCCAGCACCTGGACCACAGTCACACTTCACACTGTCCGGCAAACACAAACATATTTTGAAGATAATTATTTCTTTTATTATCAATGTATGTTTCAGGTGATAAGTTATAGCCTAATATCTTTATTCATTGTCATCTGAGAAGTAAAGCCTATCTGGACGGTAATAATAATAAGGCACAATCTCCATGTTGTGATCATAGCTACTATCAAATTAATACATTTCTTATATTAATATCCACATTTATGATACACGTATGTACCTTCTAGTAGGTGTCAGAAGTTATTAATATTCTATGAAATGTCTTTCTCATGTTCAATACAGGGTAAAGTACGTATTTTTCATTCATTTATAGACGTGATTGGATGCAGTCTGTTTGTCGTTCGATCCCTGCAAGTGTGTTTTTCAACCTGTATATAAGGCTGGAATTAGTATTTTACAACCTACATATGCTTGAGCAGTGTCTCTTAACCCAGTCCTCGGGGACGCCAGATGGTCCACGTTTTTGCTCCCTCCCAGCTCTCTGCCAAACAGTCCACATTTTTGCTCCTTTCCAGCTCCCTACCCTACAGGACCTGGGAGGAAGCAAAAACATGGACTGTCTGGGGGTCCCGAGGACAAACAAAAACTGTGCTAAAATCTCAAAAGGAGTAAAACACCTATATGGCGATTTGCCACAGTTGCAGAAGACAACTGAAGACGAGACTTCAGTCACACACATGCCGATGTGATGCTTTACATGTCAAAAATATATTCAAACAAACCATATTAGCTAGTCTTTCAAGGGCTAAAATCCAATTCAGTGTTTCAATCACAAAACACCAATTTCATGAATCAGGTGAAGGAACTGCTCATTCCAGACTTGCCTCATTAATCAGTTTAATCATTTTAACTTATTCAAATAATGGGATAAAGTTGTGGAAGTAACAATTAAATAAAATAGAACGACTTACCCTATAGTTAACTTGGTGGTATACTTACAACTGATTCTGACTTGCTGTGTGTTCTTTTTAACAGAACTTGGAATTTTTGTTTCACCATAGTGTTTGTGTCTGTATACTGTATTAATCAGAATGTTTGTGGTTATCGTGTTTGACATACATAACATCTAATATGAAGATCGTTATTTAAATTGAACACCTTTTCCAATAGAGGTAGTCACTGTTTGAGAATTCATTTTTGTATTGTATATAATCCTTTTGAGAAAAGTATTAGTACATTTTATTTAGTCCTTTTCAGAATTCCAGTTTGGTTATGATAATTATATGGTGACACAATCAAACAGTTACCTGTCTTAATGTATTCAATAATATAATATGAATACAATAATATGAATAAGAGGAAAAGTCTTATCAATACAATTTGTGCTATTTAAAAATATGAGGAATGAAATTCTCTGAAATCGTAGTTCACAGATAATTTGTGACAGATACGACCACCAATCACACACCAGTGTTTTGCTGTATCAGTGAGGATCTAAATGACTATTTGTGGCCAGCCTCATGTCATACTCCTCACTGAGGCACATGGACAGGAAGCAAACACAAAGCTTACATCGGTGTGTTTCTCAATACAAAAATGAATTTCGAGTGTTAATTAACATTTGTTCTGATGTATAACCCCAGATGCACCCCGACCCTGGACCTCGAAACGGAGTAAGATCTTGACTTTCAGCTGTCATCTCAAACTCAGGCTTCTTCCATTTTTCCTTGTGCTTTGTCTTCCAGCTCCTTTTCTTCCACATACTGTATGTCTTTATGGTATTTTATTTGCTGTACAAGCCTCAGACGCCTCTTTGCTTCTCTATTTTTCCCCTGTTGGGCTGTTTTTAGCTATTCAGACAAGAATAAAAAAGAGAAGTGAATCAAGATATCCAGAAAAAAAGCATAAAAAAAAAGATTACATTTTTTTTTTTTTTTTTTTTTGGAAATCGGTCAATGCATAGGGTGCAAAATCATTCTGTGTTTGGATCAGGTCGACTAAGAAATACCGTCTGAATTATCATGTCAGCACGGGAGCTGATCGCTTGTTCAGGGTTGTGCTCTACAGCCTTACAGGCTTTCTCTCTACCCAACATTTGTTACTGTCAAGTAGCTGCAAAGTGGTAATAAGACCTGTTACCTCTACAAGGTCCACAGATCAGCGTGTACTTCTGAGTGAATGCATCTGCATCTGTAGGATTATGAGAAGGAAAGGGTCGTGGCGGTTAGCCATATCCAGTAGTCCTTGCTCTGCTATTCTGTGTTTGAAAGTGTGCATGTTTGCGTGTGTGTTTGTATTTTGTTTGTTTCTCCAGTCAAAGCTCTTACATAGTCTCATATACAAATACATATCTGTTACTGAAATGCAAACCCAGTAGCGTTCTTGGAGAAGAGCACAGTCAGAGGTAAGGTGATCACTAGTTCACCTCCATCCTCTCCCATCTCTTGCGTATAGACCAACCCTACTCTGGACACTGCTTTAATCGTAGGACTCAAGCCTCAACAACATTCTCAATGTCATATGCCATGCAAGAGTGATGTATGACATACGCTAAATGGATCAATGCAAGCAAAAGAGTCGGCAACAGAACCTCATGTTCTAATTCATGTCAACTGATCAGCAGTATTGAATTAGAACTGCTTATTATTTTCAGTCTAATACAACAACTTTTACACAATATACCTCCTTAAATATTTAGGTAGTAGGGCTGTAACGGTACACAAAATTCACAGTTCGGTGCAAACCTTGGTTGTGGGTTCACGCTTCAAAAACAAACACAATTAGAAATGGCTAACCAAAGGCAATATGTCTGATGTGTCTGAATAACAAAATCTAAGAGTTAGCACATTGCATGCATTTCTAGCATTGCAGGCTGCTGACCAAAACTTTGAGTGATTCTAGTCATTGCTATAAGCATCCATCCATTTTCCAAATTGCTTATCCTTCTGGGTTGTGGGGGGTCCAGAGCCTGTCCTGGAAGCTATGGGGACGAGGTGGGGAACAACCCAGGATAGGGGGGGGGGGCAGCCCATCGCAGGGCACGCTCACACACCATTCACACCAATGGGCAATTTAGTAATTACAATTAGCCTCAGCATGTCTTTGGACTGTGGGGGGAAACCAGAGTGCCTGGAGGAAACCTCACGACGACACGGGGAGAACATGCAAACTCCACACACATGTAACCCAGGCAGAGACTCGAACCCAGGTCCCAAGGGTGTCAGGCAACAATGCTAATCACTGCACCACCATGCCACCCCCTAAATATGAAAATAAAAATGTTAATATTCATGACACTGTATAAAACATTTTCCTTTGTTTGCTAATTTCAATCAAAATGTAGCCCTGTTTAGCCTGTATTCTGAGCCTTCAGTTGTGTCACTATTAACCTTGTGAGCTGATGCTTAGAATGTAATGCTGAAAAATTAATTTCAGCAAGTGCATTGCATCCTTTTCTGAAATACAGCCATTATAGAAATACAAATGAATGGAGTAAGCTTTACATTATGGTTCTGCTGTACATTACATGTGCAACACAAACACATCAATGAAAGCCAGAGTAGCATCATACTGTAGCAGTAAAGCTCCCTATACATTAGTTCCTTTGTTGTCCGAGTTTTCATTCTCATCGTGTCCCCTAAATGTTAGCTCCTGTTGACTGAAGAATTAAATTGCATCCAACTGCCTTTTAGTTTTTCCTCACCGTGTTGTTGCATTTGGCTAATTGGAGATGCTTTTGTCGATCAAATTATCAATCCTCACTAGGGTTACCATTTTCGATCTGAAGAGATAAGGAAGATCAGCCACCCCCCCCCCTCCCAGCTCCCCGGGTCCATGATGATAAAATTTGCGGGAACACGCAAAAATGCACATCAGAAACACTAGCTGAAGCATGCTTCTCTGCCTGGGTTTAACAACACAGTCAAATTCCATAACTATCCAATCACAACTAAATAGAAAGTGATGAGTTCAAATACATCAAAGTCTATTAGCTTAGTGAAACAGAAGATGTATTGCTTCACTGAAATTCCTTTTATCAATCTAAGGGTGGGGCTGTTTTGCACAATTCTTTGTCAGACATTGTTTTAACAGCTGACAAACAGTCGTGTTCTTATCAACTGCTCACTGTCTAGGGCTGGAGTAATTTATTGGGAAACCAATGTTCTCAAACCACCGATTGCGACTCACTGTAACTAGCATCTGCTGTAACCAACTCATAGCCACAATTAGCTTAATGATTTCTATATTGAACATCTACTTGGGAATTTGCATTTCCTCCATGCCAATAAATGTATTCATTCTTTCGTTGTGTGTACCGAGCCAAGAATGATGTACGAAATGGTATACGATGAATATGTGTACCATTACAGCCCTAGTAGGCAGTGACTATAATTGTTTTGAACATGTACGTCCCTGTCTTTGGGGCACAGGTGCATTTTATGCTTCGTATTTTTTAACAGGGAGCTGGCATTTAATAGCTCTTTTAATGGGAAATTTCAAAACAATCCAGGAACAATTCAAGCTTATTTGGTTGTGTTGGGTGTGTGTCTATTTCAGGATTCCAGTCAAATTGGGCTGTTGAAGGAGCTGCTTGATCTACAGAAAGACATGGTTGTCATGCTCCTCTCTCTACTGGAGGGTACAGTGCTCATATGATTATGCACAATTTTAACTCCACTTGCTGTGGCCTTATATTCATACATATCTATTTCTCTTTGATCTCCCATTACGCTTGATAGGTAATGTCGTCAATGGTACCATTGCTCGTCAGATGGTGGACATGCTGGTGGAGTCATCCAGCAATGTGGAGATGATTCTAAAGTTTTTTGACATGTTTCTTAAGCTGAAAGATATTGTGGCATCAGATGCATTTCGTGACTATGTGACTGATCCTCGAGGGCTTATCTCAAAGAAGGACTTTCAAAAGGCCATGGATAGCCAGAAGCAATACACCCCCTCAGAGATCCAGTTTCTGCTGTCATGTTCTGAAGCTGACGAGAATGAAATGATAAACTATGAAGAGTTTGCGAGCCGCTTTCAGGAGCCAGCTAAGGATATCGGATTTAACATCGCTGTGCTGCTCACTAATCTATCTGAGCATGTCCCTCATGACACCAGACTTCAGAAATTCCTGGAGCAAGCCGAAAGTGTGCTCAACTATTTCCGCCCCTTTCTGGGTCGTATTGAGATCATGGGAGCAAGCAGGAAGATTGAACGTATCTACTTTGAGATCAGCCAGGTTAACCGTACGCAGTGGGAAATGCCTCAGGTGAAGGAGTCCAAGCGACAGTTCATCTTCGATGTGGTGAATGAGGGTGGTGAGTCAGAGAAGATGGAACTTTTTGTCAACTTCTGTGAGGACACCATTTTTGAAATGAATATTGCCTCCCAAATCTCAGAGCAAATAGAAGAGGATAAAGAAGAGGATGATGAGGATATCTCTGAAGTTGGAGGAGAGGGTGAAGGTGGTGATGAAGATGCTAATGGGAATGGAAGTCAATCAGAGTCCAGTTCAGCTTTTGTGGACTTTTTAAATAGTACAGTCAACTTCTTCAGCATGTTTACCTTTCGCAACCTGCGTCGGCAGTATCGTCGGGTGAGAAAGATGACCCTAAAGGAGATGGTGGTGGGACTGGCCACCTTCTTCTGGACTATCCTCATGGGTGTGCTGCTCTGCATTTGCAGCATTTGTAAGGGGTTCTTCCTGCTTGTCTGGCAAACTCTGTTTGGTGGTGGCCTGGTAGAGGGCGCTAAAAACATCACTGTGACAGAGATCCTGGCCAGCATGCCAGACCCGACGCAGGATGAGGTGCATGGAGACCTGCCCGGGGAGTTGGGGGCTGGAGAAGAGCCGGAGGCGGGGGGAGCGACCGATCTAATGGATACTGGGGGTGGGGAGGAAGAAGAAGAGGACAGCCAGGATAAGGAAGGGGGGCGAATTCCTGGCCTTGATTCCCCTGGCGGTTTGGGGGATATGGGAGAGACTGCTCCCGTTGAACTACCCACTCCAGAGGGAACTCCCTTAGCCAAGAGAAAAATGGTGAGATTGCTTTCTTCTAAAACCAGTATAGCACAAATCGGTAGCACATTATTATTTAATCAAGAGCTTTATTTCACAAAATGTTGCTGTGCATTCTGCAACGATTAAATTTCAATGGCTCCTTTCAAAATCTCAATAGTCAAAAGATGCATTACTCATGATTTTAGGGTTAGAAGCTCAGAATAATGAGACTTATTTCTTGTCACCCACATGTGATAACCTAGTTAAAATTAACCTGTTTTATTAATGGCCACATAACTGGCCAAATCATCCGTCTTTTGATATGGTGTATATACCGGTATAACCTGTCCGTAAAATGATATTGGTGTTTGTTATATCTGTTTACTTTGCTATGTTCTATGTAAGCATTGGAAAAGTGCTATATAAATGTGTAATATTATATACAAATCATCAAACATTAACATTCTAGTCCTATGTACAGTGTGTACAGCTCTGAAAAATTAAGAGACCACTCTATATTTTTTAATCGTGCTTTAATCCTGGTTCTGCTAGCTGAGGGCTATACTAAGGCAGGTTGCTTCCAGGGCTCAAAGTTTCTAAGACAGCAGTACACAAGAACAAGGTGAAGCAGGAGACATTAGGAATCACCAAAAACCAGCCAGCAGAGGGCAGAAGCAACTTTTTAATAGCAGAGATGATCGTCGACTTATGTGCCTCATAAATTGGAAGTCGACCTCAAGTGACCTTCATAATGAATGGGAAGCATTAAGTGGTGTGAAGTGCACTGCTAGGACAATACATAACAGGCTCCTAGAAGCAGGACTGAAGACCCATAAAGCAAGAAAGAAGCCCTTCATCAAAGAGAAGCAGGGAAGAGCCAGGCTGGATTTACAAAAAATTTTTTACACTGGTGTATACCCATAAATTGTGAAATGACTGAGGCTGAAAATTTTGCTGTGGTCTCTTAATTTTTTCCTTGGCTGTATATGCCGACAAACAAGGACTCTGATGAAATTACCAAAATAACTGGAAAATGTGTTTAGAAGACTTTATTTTGGCTGTGATGATTTGGATTCTGCACACCCTAAATGGTATCTCCCTGTCCCCTATCATGGTTCCAGCCTTCAGAAGAGCCTGAAGCTGCACCTCCCGCCACAGAAGAGCCTCCACCAGAACCTGAAAAGGGAGAGTGAGTTCCTCTGCCTGGTCATCTCCTCCCCTGACATTTCTTTCGAAGGTTTTTCTTGATCGACTCAATGAGCCCAATATGGAACATTAATCATTTTCTCTTCTGCCCACAGTGCTGAGAATGGAGAGAAAGCTGAGAAAGAGGCCGAAACTAAAGCCAGCGAGGATAACGCTGAGCAACCCAAGGCAAAGAAGCCCGTCAAAGTCAAGAAGGGCAAGGCAGCTAAGGAAGGGGGATTTGAGCTCTGGAATGAGCTTGATGTTCAGAGGAACAAATGTATGGTCAGTATATAACACCAGATGTTCAAGTGAAGCATTCCTGCAATATTTACGTTATTCAATTCCTGACATATTAATGTCACTTCATCAGATGTAGACCAACATTAGACATTATTTCTTTTTCCTTTTCATAGAACTACCTGTCTCGTAACTTTTACAACCTGCGTTTCCTGGCTCTCTTCATAGCTTTTGCACTGAACTTCATTCTGCTCTTTTACAAGGTATGGTTTTGAAAGTAGCATTTTGGTGGCTTTGGATTAATTTGTCTGTTTCTGTTGTGTTATAGAATTGAATTGAACTGTGTCATTGCTGATTGATTGTATACCTTTTGGATGGGGTTGATCTCAATGTGTCTGCATTGTGTTTTGAATACTGTTTTCTTACCTGTAGCTCTTGATTCACAATGTATTTTTTTTTTTCTGGAAATCCTCCTAACTACAGGTGTCAGACACACCTCCAGTTCCAGACAACTTTGAAGGTTCTGGTGTCTTTGAGGAGTCGGGAGTATTTGAAGGCTCCGGGCAAGAGCACGAAGTATCGGGTATCGAGGATGGGGGAGGGGAGGAGGGGGGGGATGAAGGCCCCGTCTATTACTTTCTGGAAGAAAGCACGGGGTATATGCAGCCCACCCTCTCCTTTCTTGCTATATTACATACTGTCATCGCTTTTATCTGCATCATCGGCTACAACTGCCTTAAGGTTGGTCTGTTTCATACTTACTGTAGCTTCAATTTCATTTCTTATCTGTCTGTTCTACATCCACGTGCAGCGAAAATGATAAAGAATGTCGTTGGGTCACTTAAAAACCACAATTGAATCCAAGTGGCATATTACGGTGTATATCATTGTGTCTCAGATTCCCCTGGTCATCTTCAAGAGAGAGAAGGAGCTGGCCCGTAAGCTCGAATTCGACGGGCTGTACATTACTGAGCAGCCGGAAGACGACGACATCAAAGGGCAGTGGGACAGGCTGGTCCTTAACACGCCGTAAGCCCTTAAATAGAAAATTTTGACATGACATGTCCCTCCACACGTTTCCAGATTTCCATTTCATTTGATATGGTATATTGTACTGGATAATACATAATATTTCTAAATGCATCATAACCATATATTTTAGTCTTCACTGTGTAAAAAGTTTTGAAAGTAAAAGTATTCTTCTATCTGTATATTTGAGTTGTGTATGATATACACTGTGTCAATGAATTAAAATGTATGTATGTATTTATTTATTTATTTAAATTACAGGTCTTTCCCAAGCAACTACTGGGACAAGTTTGTGAAGAGAAAGGTAAACTGGTTTTTGAATGTTGTAGTACTTGAGTCCAGTCTTAGTCTCTTTCGCTGAGTTTGTCTCGTCTCAGAATTGAAATTGTTTCTGCTTGGCCTTGAATCAGTCTCATACTATCGAGTCTAAGGTTCAGACTTGCTTTTAAAACTGGATGAAACACATTAATGAAGTACAATTAATAAATTATAAGTAAAATTAATCTTTTATTCACCCTCATTGTAATAATTGGTGAAGCTAACTTTTTAATTTGCAGATACTGTAAGTGTTTTTCCTAACTTTGAAACCCGTTAGTGGACCAGTTAGCTTCCTCTAAATTTAGTTCCACTAACTGTAAATATGCTAACATTTTTTTGCAGGGTAAGTGAATAAACTTATGTTAGCTGTATACTGATTAAAGGTTTGTCCATCAGTGACTGAGATTAAAGCATTGTCATCCATAAATAATACAATTTTGGTTTTTATTATTAGCAGGGGTAATAATGAATAAGTGTATTTAAAACTGTGTTTTTGAAAATAGACTTGATTTTTTTTCTTGTCTCAGAAAGTCTCGGTTTTAACTCAGGCTCTGTCCTTCCAAGTCTTGGTCTTGAATCCGACTCCGTATAGGTGGTCTCCTCCCCATCACCGTTGTTTGAGATGATCTAGGGTTAGCGTTAGGTGACCAGGCTGTTGTCGCCCAGGTGCTGGATAAGTACGGCGACATCTACGGCAGAGAGCGGATCGCCGAGCTACTCGGCATGGATCTGGCTTCCCTGGATGTCAGCAGCCAACAGCACGAGAAGAAGCATGAGAAACAAGACAGCTCTGTTTTCAACTGGTAAATACATACAATTTCACAATCTAGCCATTCGTCCTCCACCTCCTTCTCCAGAACAGGGCTTTGGGAACCTGGTGCCCATCCCAAGCAGCACAGCTTTCTCACATACACCCTCTATGGACAATTTAGAGAAGCCAGTTTGTGTAACTGTGTGTCTTTGGACTGAGGTAGGAAACCTATGCAGCACCAGGAGAACATGGGGACTGTGCTCCTGCAGAGCTTTGGGAAGGTTAAAGCCTCAGAGATATGAGTGCTGCAAGATGAGCCAGCATTCCATACTTCATACTACATGAGAGGGCTGCAAGATGAGCCAGCATTCAATACTACATGAGAGGGCTGCAAGATGAGCCAGCATTCCATACTCCATACTACATGAGAGGGCTGCAAGATGAGCCAGCATTCCATACTCCATACTACAACCCCGTCACGAAAAAAGTTGATGCTGTGTCAAATGTAAATAAAAACAGAATGACATGATCTCCAAATCATAAAAACCTATATTTAATCGAAGATAGAACAAAGACAGCATATGAAATCTGTGGCACCTACTGTAGTATCATTAAAAGATTGAGAGAATCTGGGGAAATCTCTGTTCGCAAGGGACAAGGCCGAAAACCAATATTGGGCAGTTTTGTTCTTTGGGTCCTGCATTAAAACCAGGCACAATTCTATAGTGGAAATCACTGTGTGGGCTCAGGAACACTAGTGAAAACCACCATCTCTGAACACAATTCGTTGCTGCACCCACAAAATGCAGGATGAAACTCTACCATGCAAAGAAGCAGCCATATCTAAACATGATCCAGAAACGTACCTGAACTGTCCACCTCTGACTGTATAAATACTGTACGCCTGTTTTCTCATTTTTAGGGTGACCTCAGTTGATATCAAGTACCAAATATGGAAATTTGGAGTGGTGTTTACAGACCATGTAAGCAAAGTGAAGCAGCATTATTTTGTAATTGGTTGGATGTAGTGTTTACAAACATTATTGTTCCTACGCAGCGCTAGATTCGTTTCACAGAGTCTCTTTTCCTGTTACCCTTTTCAGACTTTCCTCTACCTGGTGTGGTACACAGTGATGTCCGTTCTGGGCCATTACAACAATTTCTTCTTTGCTTGTCACCTGCTGGATATCGCAATGGGTGTGAAGACACTGCGCACCATTCTGTCCTCTGTCACCCACAATGGGAAGCAGGTACACTCCACACAGATTCTGCACTAAGCTCCATTTTAGTGTTTAGTAACTTTTGTGATGTTCTGCAGATTTTGGAATATACAGCATTGTCCAAAGGTCTGAAGGGGAGTAAACGAAATGATGTTTAAATAATCACCATGTTGCTGTACAACTGTGATATTCTGTTTGTCACAGAAATCAGCAGCATACCATGTTTGGCTAATAAATAAATTTTACAAATGGCTGAGGTGCCCCTGAGGAGAGGTTTGAAAACTGAAGCAATGTTCATCTAGCCATCCAACTAGATATCAGTAACTTTTTGGAGAATAGAAGAAATTCTTGTCACTTTTTTTATTGTGTTACTGTCCTTTTTCATATATTATGTTATTTTTTTAAGCAAATACCCAGATAAATAGCTTTAAACATTTTCTTTGAAGGCCTAAAACTTTCGTTTGGTGCAGAATCCACTCTCCTGGGACTCATTGTATCATTAAATTGAATTAGACCCATTCTAACCCCTTTTCCTGTCCCCCCGCCTGCCTTCCCACCAGCTGATGATGACCGTGGGCTTGTTAGCTGTGGTGGTGTACCTGTACACTGTAGTGGCCTTCAACTTCTTCCGCAAATTCTACAACAAGAGTGAGGATGAAGATGAACCGGACATGAAGTGTGACGACATGATGACGGTGAGTGAGAGAAACGACTGGCTGTGTATCTCTGTTTCTAAGCCGTAACTGTGAGCGTGACCTTTTGTGTTTCTTTCCATCAGTGCTACCTCTTCCACATGTTTATGGAGTGTGTTTGAGTGAGTATGAGTTAGTATGGGCTGGTTTTTGTGTTTCTNATGGAGTGTGTTTGAGTGAGTATGAGTTAGTATGGGCTGGTTTTTGTGTTTCTTTCCATCAGTGCTACCTCTTCCACATGTATGTGGGAGTGTGTATGAGTGAGTATGAGTTAGTATTTGCTGGTTTTTGTGTTTCTTTCCATCAGTGCTACCTCTTCCACATGTATGTGGGAGTGTGTATGAGTGAGTATGAGTTAGTATGGGCTGGCTTTTGTGATTCTTTCCATCAGTGCTACCTCTTCCACATGTATGTGGGAGTGCGTGCCGGCGGTGGTATCGGAGACGAGATCGAGGATCCTGCGGGGGATGAGTATGAGCTCTATCGCGTGGTCTTTGACATCACTTTTTTCTTCTTCGTTATTGTCATTCTACTGGCCATCATCCAGGGTAAGAATGCACATAAATGCCACTGGACTATGCACAGATATATACATTGTTTTTTGTTTTGCAATAATTGATTAGTGGAATTGATGCAATTAAGCTGTGACAAAAATCTGCAGATCTGTCGTGTCATAATACTACTGCATGTTACTCTAATGTTACTATGCATATTATTCTAATGTTACTATGCATATTACTATATTGTTTTTTTTGTATTAAGATCTGAACAAAGTTATAGGAAAGAGTTTACGAAGCATGCTGATGAAATTTCAGGTATTGAATGTAAAATAATAGCTTTAACTCGCCAAGAAAAGCGTGATGTTACACAGCATTTCCAACACTGAAGTTAATGCTTTTGGTATCCATTGAATGGTCTCCTTCACGCCTGTTTTTTCCAAAAGCTTTGCTGTGTAGAGTCAGTGTAAAATATGCACGGTATTCCAGAGCAAAAATGAAAGTGATTAAGTTATTTATAGCAAAATGAATATTAAATTAACATCAAGAATAAAGTTTTTGTTTTATTTGGGGTTCCCAAACGTGACCCCCATTTTGGTGACCGTGGGGGGGCCCTTGGACTTTACCATAGTCTACCATTTGCAGTCATGGTTAAAATGGGACATTTTTTTCAGACTTCTCAAATGTTATTCTCAGGTCCTGGAAAACACCTTGCGGACA